GGCAAATATTTGAAACAGATAATTCGTAACAGACTCATTCAAGTATTATTAGGTTTTGAAAAATCTGACATGAAAACTATTCTTTATGAATTCGAAAAAGAACAAATAAAAATGGACACCGTAGAAGACGAAGATTTAACTGATAACGATGACGAAGATGAGGTGATTACATACTTTAAGAAAAACTGGTATCGTATGGAAGAAGAACATGAGTTTGAAGACTTGTAATTGAAACACAGCGTTTTTTTGTTTTATTTTACACGTTATCTATCACCAAGCACTTGTATACATCTTACGATTTTGTTCATATATGCTATATTAGTGAGTACAATTCGTGCGATGAATAGTTTTCATTATATGTTACCTTCATAACAATAGTTATACACAATCTGCTGTCTATCATTAAATGTTTTCTATACGAAGCTACTTATCAATCAAACTTACGTTAAATTCTGCACTTAGTAAAGGTTTTACACCTAAAGTCGTATATAAAATCAGATTATAGTTAAGTTACAATGTTCTTATCTGGAATCTAGTTTTTGACGAAGCAGATCAAGGAGGAACTTCGTCGAAGTATATGCGAGACTGGCAACAATACAGGCATGAATATGAAATTAGCCAGTTCAGTAACTAACTGACGAGGGAAGGTCCTAAGTGGGAAATCGCTTTTGGCTCGAAACTTAGTTGACAATAGGTAATCGACGATGCTGAATCCAAATATCACAGTGGTATCGGCTAACGTTAAGGTTTTGAGGCGGATCTCTGAAAAACCAGTTTTCGGAAACTCCGGAAAACAACCAGAACTTTCAGTAATGAGCCATGCTTGTAGCCCGCACATTTCTGATTAAAATGAGACCTCTCCCAACTCTACATGACCTTTCTTTGCATAGTTACAGAATTTACAAGAAAAACCCTAAATTAATTTTTTCCTTCTTATTTCTGTAGCTTTGAGTTGACAATGAATATTTAGGGCTTTTCTTGTAAATTCTATAACTTTGCAAAGAAAGGTCATGTAGAGTTGGGAGAGGTCTCATTTTAATCAGAAATGTGCGGGCTACAAGCATGGCTCCTTAATGAAAGTTCTGGTTGTTTTTCAGAGTTTTCGAAAAAATGGTTTTCCAGAAATCCGCCTCAAAACCTCAACGTTAGCCGAAACCATTGTGATATTCGGATTCAGCATCGTCGATTACCTATTGTCAACTAAGTTTCGAGCCAAAAGCGATTCCCACTCGGGGACCTTCCCTCGTGAGTAGTTACGGTTTTTTATGTAACTAACTCTAATACGAACAACAGTATTATTATTACTTTTAAAACTCCTCTCATGATCATTCTTACTTCCATCACTATCATTTGCTGACGTTAAATTTGCTATTTCTTCCATCAACACTTTTGTTAAATTAATATGTTTTAAAACATTAATATTTGCCACAGCGACGCTTATAACGTCTTCTTCTGCTTCACAATCTCTCAACAGAACATCACAAATCAACCACTGACTTTGATTAATTCTACTTAAGTCTGTTAAATTACAACATTTCTCTATCGCCATCATTTTTAAATGCACGAATTGGCTAACATATTCATCAGATTCAACGATATTCATACCAGGGATAATTAATAATAAGAGGATAAACAACATAATAAAATTTCTCGTTTAGTGCAATAGCGTTTAGTGGTAACTTTTGTTTTTCACACTAGCTATACAGTACTATTATTCCTTCATCTACTGCCTTTGATAAAAATATTGTTTAACAGACGTCTGTATGGATCACAATAATCAGCCTAACATACAGTGCTCGAAAAAATTATAGAGCCTTTGTATTTTCGAAATTTTTCGATGAAGCCGAGCAGCTGGGTAAAAATCTGAAGTGATTTGGATAGCCCTTGAAGTTCTCTGTCAAATGCAGTATGCGTCAAAATTTCAGAAAAACGTTCTCAAGAAAGTTTTCTAGAAAATCGCTCCAGCGGAGCTCTAAGTCCTGGAGAGTTTTGCTAAAAATATTTTCAATATAGCCATCTAAAAGAGCGTCAAATTCTGAAAAAACTAAACAGTCGCGCAGCTATCCATGATCTTTCCTTGCAAAGTTACAGGCATCAGAAAATCCAAAGAAATGTGCTTCTGCATGTTTTTTAGGCGATTTTTAGCTTGTTTTTTGTAAACTATACTATTTTTTCGGATTTTCTGATGCCTGTAACTTTGGAAGGAAAGATCGTGGATAGCTGCGCGACTGTTTAGTTTTTTCAGAATTTCACGCTCTTTTAGATGGCTATATTGAAAATATTTTTAGCAAAATTCTCCAGGACTTAGAGCTCCGCTGGAGCGATTTTCTAGAAAGCTTTCT